TCTATCTATCTATCTAAGATATTTACTTTAATAAAAGGACAACCGCACTATAAAAATCCCTATTTTACAAATATAAGTTCTGTATTGAAAATGATATTTAAAGCAGCAACAACAAACGTTATTTTGGTGTTGATTCTGGCACCTCCTGTGGACAAAAGCAGCAGTGTTTCCACCGCCTTGTTACATTGATTTCAAGGGGAATCCGACCTGGTGGCAGGTATTAAGAATAACTATACAGAAACAGACAATCTTTTCCCTGATTTGTTTGTTAATGTAGGACATATAGAGGTATCTGTATTCAATTCAGACTGCTCACAACCAGGTAAAATACTCCTTTAAGTAAAAGTATTTAAGTATTATTAAGCGTTTGATACTTGCATGATGCATTAATGTGCATGTAGCATTTTACTGTTAGTAGGTCAAGATGACGCTAATTTTAACTATGTTATATACTGTTATATATATGTACAAGTATTTCAGATTTGTACTTACTTTTCACCACTGTTGACTTGTGATCCTTTATGTAAAACACAGTGTGCAGCTCTGACAAAGAGACATTTCACCACTTTTGACGCACATAGAGGGAAAGACATCAATATGTCACATATTTCACAAAAAGCAAAGATCAGAGAAAAACACAAAATATGACAACAGATTGGGGTATCAGAACTTTTTCTTCTTTCCACTCCCATCAATCATCTCATGACCCCTCAGATTTATCTGCCGACCCTTTCGAGGGGCCCGACCCCAGTTAAACTGTATATAAAGTAGTTAAAACTGGCTCCGCCTCGAGCAGTAAAACAATAAAATGTTGCTCTAACATTGATGCATTAGTATTAACAATCTAATAATGTCACACAGAACCATATGTCAGTCAAAGTCCTTTTACTTTTGATACTTTAGCTACATTTTATTGATAACACTTCTTGAATGCAGTATTTTTACACTTCTGTATTGATGCTAAGTTAGTAAAGAATCTGAGGAACTTCTTCCATCAGTGAATTTAATATGAAAAGTACTCATCATGAAGAATGGCTCCTGTCACATTTACATAATGAATCAATATTAGATTGATGCATTAACATGTAGGCAGAACTTTTATGTTGAAGAAGAACTAATTTTAACCACTTTTGGCTAGTTTATTTATAATAATGCATCATATTTTTATATATTTTGTATGTAATATCCAAATCTATAAAAAATAAATAAATAAATAAATAAGCTGTGAGACACATGTAATGGAGTAAAAATGAAAAAAAAAAACTTTACCTATGACCTGTAGTGGAGTAGAAGCAGAAAGTAGAATACAGTGGAAGTATTCAAGTACCTCAGCACTGCACTTGAGTAAATGTGGCTCATATAGTGATATTCTGCTGTATGAATCCACTTTCTAGGTGTAAATTCTGTACAGAAGATGATGACATGACCTACAGTAGATCATCGCCCAGCAACCACAAACATCAACAAGGAACAATATTAGAAAAACACAGAACATATTCTGACATTTGTTTGGCACCAACTTTGAAATTAGCTAATGAAAACTGCTGTCAGGCTAAAAAAGACACGCAGAGGTTTGTCTGATTTTATCTTTAACCCCGTAGTATCCTGAAATAAATCACACACACACAGAGTTTCAGACTCTATGTGTTGCCAATAAGTAGGTTTAAAAGTTTGATGTCTGAATCGTTGGATGTGCTCGGCTGGTGAAAGTATTTTAGGGGGTCTGCTGAGGAGTGTAGGCTAATGGCAACCTCATGTATTTTGCTGTAATTTAGCCCACGTCTATCTTTAGTCTGTAGGAAATTGAAAATCATGCCTATTCCTGAGCTTCAGTTACAGCTGCTCATTATGTAGGAGCCTATATCATTACAGTCAGCTCGTCATTACATGCTCTCCTACACAGCCCCGAGTAGGTGTCAGCCAGTTTGTGGGAAGCAGCGCCACCGTGTGTCTGAAAGGAGCACAGCAAGGGTCTGAAAAGTCTTTTTAAAATTAGTTTCACAAGAAAAACAGGCTCATATAAACCCCTAATTACATTATAGATAATTCTCTGCTGCTGTGATTGAGGACAAGGTGTGTCAGCATGATGTTTAACTCAAGATAGCCTAATGTGCAAGGTGTGTTACACTGCACACATAATAAACCTCTGTCAGCAGTGGAAGAAGTATTCAGATGCTTTACCACTCTGTAAGAAAACACACAGAGAAGTCCTGCTTTCAAAACCCTATTTAGGTAAAAGCTAAATCAGCTAAATGTAGATAAAGTAACAGTAGCCACTGTGCAGGATAGTTTGCTCTGTCATGGTTATATTACTACATATTATACTGCTGGATAATTGTAGTTGGCCAAGGTGGAGATGATTCAACCTATTTGATATTTGATGTATGACTGGGTGGTTTGATTTAGTATGAATCATATTTTCTATGCTCATCGTAGGCTGTTCAAATCTGAATCTCTGAATCTGAAGTAAATAAGCCTGTCAAAAAAATGTAGTGGAGCAAAAAGTAGCAGATATTAATGTAGTATTTGAATACTCAGATAAACTACAACTACCTCAGTACAGTGCTTGAGTAAATGTAAAACTAAAACAAATCATTAAAATAAGGAAGGAGAAGAAAAGAGGTCAGAAAAGTCGAAGCACTTCTTTCTGACTGAAGATCTCTGCGATAAAAATGTTCTTAAATTAGTCTTTTTTATTGTCATTGAATCATCAATAGGTTGATATTATCTGACCTTTCATATGGCTGCTGTTCACAGAGGAGGGCAGTTAATAAATAATAAAAGCTTCAGCAGGTTATTAACATTAATGTGATGCATAATTCAATTAAAAAAACTATATTAATATAATTTCAAATGCAATGGATATAAATATTAAGACTTTTTGGAAGTTGGAATTTACTTTTCTTTTTTTTTCAAACAAAAAGTATTTTTTACTGCTAATTTAAAACATTTGCTTCTATAGTTTATATTAACATCTAAAATTATAAGATAAAACATGTTTTCCCCTAAAATGATAACATTCATAAGGAGGGAGTGTAATGTCGTACGGTTGAGGTTTATTGCAGTATTCCGGGTTGGTGCAGGTGTGTTCAGTGACCTCTGCACAATAAAAGTGATAACGTCTGAGCAGTCACCTGCTTTAAACCTTTATAAAGACTCCGGCTTCAGTCCAGGAAAAGTCCTTCCACCGTCCTTCAACCCTCCAACCATCTGGTAAGATTTACCTCCTAACGACTGCTTGACTCTGAATCCTGAATGTGTGTCCATATTGTTTGAAGTTCTAAAGAGGTGTAATTTATTGTTATCTCTGCATGTGGGGGAAACACAGATCGCAGAATAAGCCTTGGCCTCTTCGGAGTTGGGCTCGGGAAACGTGATAAGAGCAAGACATCGGTGACAAACTCTTTTCATCCCACACAGAATTATCCCTCATCATGGCTGTGACCAACCAACCGTCAGGATACCAGCCTTCTGAGTTCCAGACGGGCCTGTGTGATTTCTGTGATGACTGTGGAACTTGTGAGCACTTATTTCTTACTGGGAAAATCTGATTTGCACACAGTTGAGCATGTGAGATGAAGACTACGTATTAATATTAACACTTCTTTTCCTCTCTGAATCAGGCTGCTACGGTCTGTGCTGCTACCCTTGCCTGGGCTGCTCCATCGCCAGTGACATGGACGAGTGCTGCCTGTGTGGACTGGGCATGCCCATCCGCAGCGTCTACAGGACCAAATACAACATCCAAGTAGGTTTTTATTGGATATATGGAGCTGGTTGACTGTAGGTCTCCCTTTGGATCATGTAGTAAAACAGCATTATTGTCAGGTAACAGTATCACCTTTAATAGCTGTAATACAGTGGCTCCCAGCCTTAATTTGCTTGTGATTCCATGTCACAAGTAAAAGTACTAATACACTGTAAAACCTAACAGCATATCTTCATGAAAAAGGTGAATTAACATAAATTAATCCTCCAAAAAATGTGGAGTTAATTTTATTTATTGTTGATATTATTCCAGTTTGTTCCACTTATTTTCTTTAAGTTGACTTTAAATCGTTATACAAATGCAAGCGTCACTGTAATGTAATCATTTACTTTAGTGGAAGAAACCTAATTAAATTCAACTTAAGTGGTAATATTTGTATAAAGAAGATGTAGTTAAGTTATTCTTACTTTATTATATATAGATAGATACATATAGACGGATAAAAATAGACAAATATAATAGATACATTCTGTTAACACATTTTAAATGAGTTTGGAGAAATGCTGCTTATGACTGTAATTTACTTACTTGTTTTAAGTTAAAATGTATTATTTAATTAAGTTAACTTAATAAATACTTAAGCTACTTGTACTCAAATCAAATTATTTTTCATGCTTTCATTATTTGAGTTAATACACACTACAAATGGTTTAAGGCAATCAGTTTCTTCAAACAGTTCGAGTTGAACTAAAAGTGCTTCATTCAAAGATGCGTCCACACATGTAGGCTACGTTCACACTGCAATTATTATAGCGCTGATTGTTTATGTGGCACATATCAGATTCCACTGTGAACAGATCACGGTCCTGAAGTGACCTGAATGACGTAAAAGTGACATAAAAGTCACATAAATTCTGATACAACTGTTCACACTGAGGTCACATTGCAAGAAAATCAAACCAAACTCCGAAAATATCTGATCTCAGTCACATATGAGGAAAATAATCAAGTGTGAATGTAGCAGTAGTCTGCTAGGAGCAATAATGGGTGTCTAATGTGTTTTGTTCCTCAAAAAAAAAAATTTAATTTCCACATTAAAATCCTTAAAAAGTCATCTACTCTCCTTCTACCTCAAATTGAGTTCACTTCTAAAGTTTTCCTGCTGGACACAAGATGAATCCTACTTCACTGTAAAGTCCGTTCTCAGTGTGTGTGCACTGGTGGCTTCAAGTTTCTATATCACACTTGTATAAATTACATACTGGACCAGGATTGACCTCCAATCTATTTGTGATGGCACAAATCATGCTTCAAGGCCCCACCCTTTAAAATCTGATTTTCAGTAAGCACTGAGAAACTTTCAACTTTCAGCAGACGAAAGTAAAAACATCCTTTTAGTGTCAAACTCTGTACAACATCATTCAAACATCACACTGTAACAACAAGAAGAAACACATATTTTTGAGTGGAGGGGGGCTTTAAATAAAAGCATTATCAGCATGTACTAAAAGTATCAAAAGCAAACGCAGAATAATGGCTGTGTGAGTGCAGTATTTTACTGTTTTACTGCTCGAGGTGAAAATAGTTTTAACTTTATATACTGTTAATGCGGCAGTTCTTAACCTAGGGGTCGGGCCCCTCCAAAGATAAATCTGAGAGGTCATGAGATGATAAAGGGGAAAGAAAAGGAGAAATCTGTGCTTTTATGTGAAATACTGGATGCTTTTACCTGTTTGGGCCTTGAGAAGTTATTAAATGAAACCATCTGAAAGGGTTAGATGGCAAATCACTCTTTTGGTGAAAACATGACAAAGAGCCTTAACTAGACACTGCTGTTCTGTAAGCCACAAAGGTAGAGCCACCGGTTTAATCTTTAACAATGTATATTTCAAATGTCAAATCCTAATCTCTGAGCTAATCCGTCACTCCAGCTGTCAACAAACGTAGTATAAAGGTCCAGAGTGTAACATTTATAAGGATCTATTGGCCTAAGGTATGTGTATAATCAACTCGCTGCCTTCTGTGAAGGCCGCCATGTTGAACTGACATGTTTCTACTGTAGCCCAGAATGGACAAACACGCTATACGGCATTATATTGCTTCCATTTTTGTAATGATATCGAGTCTACTTGAAGAAAATGAGTCAATGGAACGAACTGGAAATATATCGCCTGTATTTAAAATACGCTTTTGAGTTAATTAAGTGAATGAGTGACTCCATTTTATATGTTAATCCCACGGCCCTTTCCAACAAAAGTTCTCAATTGTGTGAAACTCTGATGCACCCACTAACAGTTGGTTTGTTGCTTTCAGGGCTCGCTGTGTAATGACTTCATGGTGACCTGGTGCTGTCCAGTCTGCTCCACCTGCCAGCTGAAGAGAGATATTGACCGCAGGAAGGAGCAAGGCATTTTCTAAATGTTCCCGTAAGTGTCTTGTGAAAGCACCAAACCAGAAACCTCCTTTTAAATCACCTCATATTTACCACACCATGTTTTGTCACCTTTATGGAGCTGTTGACATCGTGGAAAATCATGTTTTTTTAGATGCTGTGAGAAGCTGTAAATTTACTGTAAGTGTAATATAACCTTTAGCGGTTGTTGTAAAGTGACTATTGTTGGGATTTTTTTACTTCGCCACTTCTCTATAGGACGTGGCGTTGGTTAAATATTAGTCGGCCAGGGACACACCTTTACTGCTGCTGTCATAAATTGTAGCTGTAATTTCCAGCAGTTGACAGGATGTAGAGAAGATTGCTGTTGACTTAAGGTGTCGAACACTGCCATTAGCTTTTTTCCTGTCACTGAACACAGCACAAACTGATTCTTTAAAAGATCTTTTTTGTCCTTTGGTATCAACAGTTTGAATGTCAATGCATGTAATGTAAAAAAAAATGTACAAGGCAACAGTCGCCATTACATTTTTGAGTTTTATGTCAAACTTAAACTCAAAATATTTAAAAGTTTTGAAATAAACTGATAGTAATTAATGAAAACTTACTAAATTTTTTAGAAAAACTTGAATCTTTAAGTTTTGAAAGCCAACAATCTGCATTTCGAAATTTCAAAAATTATTTAATTTTCAAGCACCCAAATAATGAAAAATCGCTGTGAAGTGTTTGAAATACAGAATTTCTGTCTGCAAAACTTTTTTTTTTCTTATTACAAAAACTTAAATGTTTTTTTGTGAGTTTTACTTAAAAGAATTGTGCCTTAAAATCATGTGTTTTTGTTTTTTTACAGTGTGTATGTCGAACTAAACAGGAATCAAACCTTTTACACCGAGGGCTTGGCCGTGGAAAAGTATATTATATGGATCCTGCTGGACTTCTGACCTGGATACTAAATGTTTTAATGTTTTTAACGCTGTTGTAATAAAAATCTTTTCATTTGAATGAGCAGAGGAACTCCCTTGTTGTTTTTTCCCCCTCAGTGGTTCCCAAAATGTTTTACTTAATGTACCTCCTTTGAAATATTTTAGGTAGAAAACATTGTTGGTAGGAAAAAAACCTACATAAAGATGTCATCAGTGTCTTATTTGTCAAGAAAAACACATAAATGCTACATTACGTATTTACATTACGTACATTAAGTGTTTAGAATCAAAACATTTATACCAAACCAATGTTTTTCAGGCACTTTTCTTCGTCATCATGATGCAGTAACACTAAAGCTGTGCAGTTGCATTGAACTGCATCTTTTTGATAATTAGTGAGAAACATGAGCTTATGTTTCATTGAGGATCTTGCTCATTCTCTGCGAATAACTGCAGTAATCAAACTCTTTCCCAGACGTTTTACCGTAGTTAACTAGCCTATTGCTTTAAAAATAGGAATATTAAATATATTTTACAATTTACAATTCTCTGCCTGTTACGTATTTTTCTTTTTTTTTTAACAACCATACACACTTAATAGGCTTCTTTTTTTTAGAAATTCAGTTTTCTTCGCAGGACGAGGCTGTTTATTACAGAGTGAAGGCTTTTTGAATAAAGCTTGTGTTCAGGTGTTCAAAGTTTATATTAAATACGAATCTAAACTTTAAAAATAACAATTTAATTTAGTTTTTTCTTCACAGAAATGAGCTCAATGTTAATGATATAAGCCTAGTGAGTATATTTTTAAAGTTCTTTTGTATCCCTGAAAATCAAGAAGGTCTCATGATTCCTTTGACTCAAGGGTTGTGAACCACTGGTCTACAGCACAGACTATAACTAAAAGTAGTAGTAGAGTAAGTTTTCCATGTGTATCAGCTCAGCCTGCATGCTGCAGAAACGGACTGTGCCCTCAGCTATAAACCTGTGTGGACCAGCTACACCAATGAATGAGTGCTGTTTAAGGTTAATAAAAATGCTGAAAATTATGCTGAATCTCAATTAAAATATTTTCTCAAATACAAAACAGTTTTAAAGAAGCTCTCCAACTACCTTAACTAGCATGAACATTTTCTGTCTGTGTCATCCAGCACTCTGACCTACTCTTTAGAAAATGCACCATTCTTTCCTCACAGGGAAACCAGAGGGAACATCCTGATGATTAAAGAGGACACTGCTCAGAAAGCTGCAGGAAAACAAAGTCAAAAACGACTGATACAAAGGAATTATTACAGAGGCACAAAATAAACTTCAGTGACAACCAAGATGCTGAACTTCTTCTCTCAGTTTTGAATTTAATTCTCTTTGCTGAAATTTAATAAATGTGGACCGAGAAGGTTTACACGACGCCATAAATCAAGAGCCATTTGATAGACATTGCTGTGTAATTATGTTAAGTTAAAAACACAAGAACGTGTTGGAACACAAAAGCTTAAACTGACCAGTTGTTTGCATTTCTCACTTCTTTTTGACCCCTATTACATGTCAACTATCTGAATAATCACATCCAAATCTTTAACATGCCAAGTAAATAATATGAAGTCACACCTTAATGTTACATCAGATCGGAAATATTGAGAAACATTAAACTATGTTCCCTCTGGGCAAATGTAATAAAACAGTGTTCTCTGAAAAATTCAAGTGATGGTGATAGCAGAGGCTTCTCCTTGGGCGTTTCCATCACTGGGACTGAAGTGGTGACGCTTCTGACCAGGAAGACAACACTTCAGCACAGGCTGAGGGAGCAGTTTAGGGGATTTTTTATATATTTTTTGGGATGGGGTGGAGATGTTTACTGGGTCATCTGGGCTTCCAAAGCCTGCGCAGCCCACTCTGGAGCAGCCTGACGGATCTTTTCTAGGAGGTTGTTGACTTGGAAACACAGAGACTGGATCTGTTTGTCCCATGTGGGAAGTGGTTCACGGGCTGCCGGGGTTAAAGGAAGAAGAAAAGATTAGAAGTCAGGGCATCAAATACATTTCCACTTCATGAACAACAAATGTACATGTTCAAACTGTGTATGTGACTTTTAATGGCTGCTCTATCTCAGCACTGCCACTTTCCAAAAGCAGGGAAGGTGATCTGTTTGTTTTTGTGTCATTTTTGTTTGACAAGGAGTGCCCCCTACTGGACACATATATTCACATATATAAACAACACCTGATAAAACTTTACATGACAAAATCCACAAAATGCACAAATAAATAATAACTAAATAATACATAAATAAAATGATTCAGGAACATCTTATAAGACTACAATAAGACTGTTTCATCTGTGCCTATAAACAGTGAAGTAAGACCATTTAAGTTCAACACACAACCTGTGTAATAAAAGGAGGAATGTTGTAAATGTATTGTACTATTATTGTTTGTTTTACGGCAGATTCATTCATTTCATTTTTTTGTGAGTTTTAATAGGTAATTTAATAGGTAAATGTTGCATTTGTGTTGGAATTTTAAGGATTATAATTGTAACTTTAAATATAAAAAAAAACAAAAAAAAACTGTATTTTGGTTCACAAAAACATGTTCTGTCCTACATCAAATGGCTGACTGGCTGTCGTTACTCACTTTCAAAGTGTACAATTCCATCTATCTGGTCGATGAAGCCATTCATGCGTCCTTCGGTGATCATCTGGGAAGCTATTTTTTCAGCCTGAAGACAAACAAAGGAAAGTAACATCTCAACATACATAATGTAAAATGGGGTAAAAACGATGTTTAATACAAGCAGAAAATACATTTTTGGGCTCTAACAAATTTCCTTATAGACCTGAAAAGAATAATTAGCTAGAAGGCTATAATTAGGCTAAAAACATTAACTGCTTTGAGCCTTTTTGAACTTAATTTTATACATTTTGGTTGTGCAATGTGCTTCAATGCATCAGAAGTGAATACAGTATATAGATTTTGATAACGTTAACACTGCTGAAACACTTCTACACTACAAGCAAAAGCCGGAACTGAAAATATCCATACTGTGAATTACGGCAGCTAACTAAATATATAAATACGTAATATTTCATAGGACTAAAAATGAAAAAGATATAAATATTTACATGTCTCACCTTTGCTGGGGGGATTTCCAACAGTGCTCCTAGTTCTTCAAAAGTGATGTTGTTGTAGAGTTTGCTTGCAGACAGGAGGTTGTGTTCGATCACAGCTCTGTCGAGGATGCTGGAGCCTTCGACAGAGAACACACAACTTCAATTACTTTCATTCTTATATTATGAAACATAAAAAACCTGCAGACACCATGTGGTTAAATGATACATTAAATCAATACTGCATATATTAGATAGAAAAACTATGAGCTATCTCCTGTGGAAGAAGCGATTATAGGAATAGGAAATGCTTGGCTCGAACGCTCAATCCAACAACTTGGCATCTGAGGCTGTGGAAAGTTCATTATCTGGACTCACCATCCGCTGTGGTGGCTTTCTGGTGGGGCATCAGCATGGCAGCAAACTCCTGTAGCTGGTTTCCTCTGATAATGCGGTCCAAGTACATCTTCTCCAGAATGCCATAGGTAGCCAGCTGCTGACAGCGCTCATCCTTAAAAAGAGTGGCCAACATACGGGAACGCTGCTGGCCTGAAACAAATGACAGTACTTTTGCTGTAAGACACATCAACAATTTAGAGGTTTGCCATTTAGATTATCTTTGACAACAATAAAGTCTTGGTGGTACCTGCAGAGGCCAGTATGGTGCAGTTCAGGGCATGTTTCAGTGCCTCCAGACGTTCGGTCTCATGGACAATTGACTTATAAGACAGCTCGTTGTATCTTTGTGCAGCTTCAATAAACTTCCTCCTGAAGTCTAGGACTCTGGCATAGCACACCTAAGAAGGAGAGACTGCATGAAAACACTGAACCGAGCAACTACAGACACTGTTTACTGCAAAGTCCCCATAATGTTTAATTTAATAGTGCTGCTCAGACTCTGCTGGAGTTATGGTGTGCAGTAGGACATTAAATTTAAAGAGTATTGTCATGAATACTAAACCCAAGGAGGAGCAAAGTGTTCCTTCATTCTTTATGGCAGACCAAGCATTAAAGTGAAATGTTTGTGTACCTTATAGTGTATCTGCAGCTGTTCATTAGAGGACTCATTCTGAAGCAATGAGGCTCTGTTGATGTAGGCCTCCGCCTGCACTGGATCATCATCCTCCAGGTAGAGACGGGCAATTTTCAGGTAGGTATCCAGCTTATAGTCAACATTGTATTGCCTATGGGAGGGAATAAAAAGGCATTTAGATTTCTGGGCATATCACAAACATTACAGGTCAGGAAATAAATCTGCCAGTAGCTTACTTACTTCTGTCCTGTTTCCAGGGGAATACCAACTAAAACCTGGGCAGCATTTCTCCAGTCTCCCTCCTTTTCATATATGGTTGCTAAGTGCTGTCTGATTGAGGCTACCTGAGGATGTGTAAGAACATATTTTAATAGTTATTCCAATAAGACGTTTTACTAAATGAATGGTCAACTACAAATCCTGCTCAGGGCTATGAGAGAGTGGGGGGGCATTTACTTGTTCCTCAAAGGAGATGACCCTCGGCTGAATCTTTTCCAAGGTGAAGTGATACACTGCTTTAGCTGTGGCGTCAGGCAGGTTTGGCAGATGTGTGCAGAAGTCAGTGAGCAGCTGTCTCGAGATGACAAGACTGACATTTTCATTGACCACTGTAAAAGAAAGACATAAATATTATGGTAAGAGATCTTCCAGATGTACTGAGCATCTGTATGATGTAGAAAATGCTGATTGAGTAAAAAGAAATTCAGGCTTAGCATACTTGCTTCAACAAAGGCCTTCAAGGATTCCAGCTGATCTGCATCTGTAAACTGAATGGCCTTGTCCAAAATTTGTCGATATCTACAGATACAGATAGATTTTACAGGTTAGAAACAGCGACAGTTTTTATAGTGAAGGCCCTGCGAGTGATACATGTAATGATGAACGATACGTACACACACACAGAGACACACTTTGGTCAAAACCAGTGGTTCCTAAACGCTGTGCAATGGGAGTATGTAACAACAATACAACTATACAAAAAGTTA